AAAAAACAGAAAAATTAGCCTGGCAAGGTGGTGCGAGCCTGTTGTCCTAGCTACTTGGAAGGCTGAAGCAGGAGGCTTGCTCAAGCCCAAGAGTTTGAGGTTGCAGCAAACTATGATGAAGCAACTGCACTCTAGCCTGGGCGACAGAGACTCTGTCTCAAAAAATATTCAGGCAAAAATTATTTTAAAAATGTTTGAAGCTGGACATGGTGGCGTGCACCTATACTCCCAGCTGCTAATCAGGAGGCAGAGGTGAGAGGAATGCTTGAGCTTAGGAGTTCGAGGTTACAGTGAGCTACAATGGGGCTAGTGCACTCCAGCTTGGGTGATAGAGTGGGATCCTCTTACAAAAAAAAAAAGTTTTATAATGCAAAATTTAAATCATACATAAAGTAATAAAGTGGCAAGTACCCATCACTCAGCTTTAACATTTATAAGGCCACTATCATCAGAAACTAAAATTAATATTTTATATACCTTCTGATTTGATCTTTATAAACATATCTAATTAAATGGATCATAGCCCTCAAATGTACCTATAAAGATAACATTATTTTTTACAGCTAAACTGTATTTTTTAAAACTATTAAAAATCAAATATACTCTGAAATAAAGAAGCAAAATGAAAATATATTCTTTATGACATAAATTTAGGTAGATTTACCTGGTGTCAATTAAACAGAATTACAAATTTGAGCATGACTCAATGAATAGATTTCCTTCTTTCTTGATTTTTTGGATTACAGCTCAATTATTTAATAGATTATGAATGATCATCTACTCTCTCTCAGTCCTAAACATTTTCAACTCACTACTTACCCCATTTGATAATTTTAACTATCACTTCTCATTCAAAACCACTGCACTCACTTTCTTTGAATTGCTCAAATCTTCCCAATTTGTTCAGTCTACTGATTTTCTCATGTTTTCATCCCCTCTCCAAAAGAGATGATCAAATGTTTCACTGTCAACTCTTTAATTCCATTAACCTACCATAAGTCAACCCTTGAAAAGCCCAAGTGCTGATAACCCTAGCCATTCTTCCTGCACCTATTTCCAAGAATAAGAGAACTACTGGGGAATAACCAAAAAACAAAGCAAAATTTATAAAACTGATATACTAACAGTTTTTAAATACCTCAACTTACCCATTGCTACTAACTGGCAGTCTTTATTTTGCCTCACATTCCTAAGAATAATCTCCACTGAGATTAGAACTTCTTTAAAATGCAACATAGTTTTCTTACAAAATCCACCCCTTCAATGCTTAACAACTTTAATTGCTGATAAGTTCAATAGTTATTACTCATGAATTCAAGTTATACTGCCAAAATGGAAAATATGAGGCCTCAATTTCCATCTACCTCTCTATCTTAACATGATTGTATTTTCCGTGCCCCATTTCTTCCATTACTTCAGAAAATGAGATTGTTGTTCCTTTCTTTGAAGAGAATTTTATCATCTATTCTGAGGATTCCATATTATCCTGACTTTTCAATGACCTTGCCCCCTATACCTCTCCTTTTTGGCAAAATCTTTCCTATTCTATCAGATCCTCAATGCTGCTGCATTTGACAACAGTAATGAGCCACATTTTTATTACATTCTCTTTCACTGACTACTATCATGACATTGTCCTATTTCTAGTTCTCCTTCCACATCTCAAATTCTGCCTACGTTGGCTTTTCATTCTCTTACCCTTAACATTCTCCCCCTACTCTTTAATCTTTCTACCTCTCTTTTCTCTATGTTTACTGGATAATGGGGTAGGGGAAGAAAGGGAGTGGAGAAATAGAGGCAGGATAGGGAGGATGTTTTTGCTGGCAATTTGTCACTGCTCACATATGTTGGGATGGAAAAAGTTGAGAATGAGTGCTTATTACTTTCTATGGAGATCTCATTTATTCCCATAATTACTATACTTACATCTATACAATAATTCTCCAATTCAATTTTTCTGTATAATTTTGGCCTCTTTCCTGAGACTCGTCCATGCTTCTAGCAGTGAACATTTATATTTTTATGGCCCACTAGCAGACATTTCCAACTTGATACAACCAAAGTTTGGCAATAACTATCCCACCTAAAATGATTCCCTTCATATCTTCCCTATCTTTTGAAAGACACAACCAATCTCTATTACCTAGCTTTGAAAAAACTGCGTCATTTCCTTCATTTCTTATAGCCAGGTGATGATGAATTAATTATCAGGATTGCTACATTATCCTCATCAAAGAAAGGAGGAAAAAAACTCCCTATTCAAAAGAGCTATCCTCATCAATTTTTCCTGATAATCTCACTACAGTCTTACCTCCAGCCTAATGTCAAACTAAAAAACTACTCTCTTCATGTCATTCCTTTATCCAGCAATTTATAACAGCTCTATTATCAGCTATATATAAAGTCTAAACACCTCTAGCAATGTGTCCTCTGAAATCTGACAACTACCTTCACACTCTATTTACTATTTTTCTCTACCACAGCATTTCTCAAACTTTTTGTTTTCAGAGTCCTTTACGATCTTAAAAATTATTGAGGACCCCAAAGAGCTTTTGTCCATGTGGGTTATATCTATCAATATCTACCATATTGGAAATTAAAATTGAGAAAAATTTAAAACACAAGAATACACAGGCACACATTCTATTAACTGTCAGAACAATATCATCACATATCAGGCAGCCTGGAAAACTCCACTGACACTTGAAAGAGAATGAGAGTGAAAAAGGCAAATAACATCTTAGCATTATTATTAAAATAGTTTTGACCTCTAGAAACCCTAGCTCACTTTGCTCACAATGTTGCAACTCACTACTACTCTACTTTGGTTCTCTTATCTATCTCCCTAATAATCATTAATGATTACTTATGACTGATATCTGTGTGCAGCAATAGGCCAGAGGGAGAAAAAAGGCTGGGAACCACAGGTTTACAAAATAATCTCCAAATTCATCAGCATGCCTGCTCATTTACTCTGACCCAACCTATCAATTTTATTTCCTGCTATTACCATTTCCTTCCCCTCCTGCACCGCACTTCAACCAAGTTTGGTGGTTCCAAATGGAGCAAACCTTTAATGGCTACAGCACCTTTGAATATAGTTTTCCCTTTGCCCAGAAGAAGGCCTTCTCTCACTCTTCCTTCAGACTCGGTTCACAGGTTATCTCTTCTATGAAGTCAGCTCATCCCTAATTACCCTTTTATTGTTTATGTGTCTGCCACCCCACTAGACAGTAGCTACCTGAGGGCAGACTTGAATCAGACTTGTATACATACAACTTTGTATTTCAGTACCCCACAAACAGTGGGAACCCAAATATGTGATCATTCACTTGAATGTCTGAACTTGAACTGAACTTGACTTTTGAATGAGTCAGTTCAATGTTCTTCTAACCCCAAATACTCCAGACCACAGTACTTGCTCTTTCCTCTGAACTTCTGCAGTACCATATAAAACTAGGAAAAGAGAAAATCCTAAAGGAAACTAATAGTTATTCCTTCCTATAAAACAGACTGGTTCATAGGACCAAGTCTAACTCCCTAGTCAAGGGCCTCTGTCAAGTGGCTGTTCTTCACCTTTTCAACCTTATTTTCCATTATTCTCCAACATTAACTTATGTCTTCTGTCATCTAATAAATACATACACACACTATCCATTCTGTTTTCATTCCTTTTGTTTATACTCTTCCTTCCCCCAGGAATTCCATTTCCCTATAATTCTAAATTCTATTCCTTAAAAGTTTGGTTCAAAACCCACAAATTCCTATGCCAGACCAAAGGAAAATTTCCCTTTTTGGATATTTTATGCATTTCCATTTGTTTCCTATAACCTAGCATTTATCATTCTTTAACAGTTTCAAGTAAGTCAATGCTGCAACCCCAGATAGCTTGACAGCCCTTCAAAAGCAGGCGCTGTCTTCACTCAAAACAGCTGAGTGTCATTATGCACCAGATAATGGCAAGGTTTCTAATCTTGTTTCTTTTGTATCAGCCTTTGCTAGTAAAAGAAGATGATGGCAAGTAATAAATACTATTCATGATACTGATTTTTTTTCCTAACTGGTCAGAATAATTGAGGTTATTTTTTCTAGGGAACATTTTATCTATAGATATAATTATCAATTTGAAAATAAAACGGGTGCTATGAGATGCACCTTCTCAGCACCCTAAAACTGCAAGCTTAAATAAGATACTTCATTTACAGATAACTCACTCTGAGTGCTCAATACACTTATTTTTTAAAGCCCATCCTTTTTTTCCTCCTTCACCTTAGATATATCTTTTCTTATTTTAGTTGTTACAGTTTTAGCTTTCTTAACACATTCTGACACATGGTTACTGGTAATAATGCCAAACCATTTAAGTAGAGCCAAAGAAATAAAGCAAGTAAAAATCATGCATAAAATGAAAACAATCTTTGAAAACCAAGAAGTTATGGTAACTGGGTCTCAGACCAATGCTTTTCCTTAAATGGAATTTGTCTAAAGAGCCACATCTTCCCTATCACCATTCCCTTAAGTATCTTCGCCCAAATGGGGCAAGCATATTAGTTGGAAAATAGACTAAACATAATCATCAAAACTTAAATCCATGATATCATGGATTGATGGTAACTTCTGAATATCACTTTCTCCAATCCCTCACTCTTTTGCATATGTGGTAAAGTCAGTAAGAAGGAATAACATAAGAAAATATAGTTTAAAATAATCATAAGGTTTAAGATGCTCTGAGTCCTTTTTGTTTGTAAGTGTATCAACCACAACTGAATGTTTAACTCGTACTTAAACACTACAAGGGAGACTTGAGGTCGGGGCAATTCTTTCTGATACATATAGATACATATTCCTTCAACATGGAAGTTCTGGAATGAATTTCATTTAAGAAGGTAACTGATGAATGAGGAAAGAAAGAGTTACCACCTGACACGCAGCAGCTCCCTCACCCCGTTTTTCTCCCCCTCCCCAAAAGCTGTGAGGAAGTAAAAAGCTGCAGATTGTACCTTCCAGGCCAGGAGCAAAACATTGAGGATGGCCAGCAAAGGGCAGGGTCCGTTCTCATTCTGGGTGATGATGGGTGTGTTCTCTTCCTTCCACTGGATCCACTTGATGTGATACACAGATTGTCCCGGAAAGCGTTCCTTGGAGGCCGCCAGCACCTGAGCGGTCTCCGCCTCCTCCTCCCGGCACAGAGGGACAGCCCCGGGCACCGCCGCCGCGCTGTCCTCCTCCTCTGGGACCCTGTTCTCCGCTCCCTCCTCACTATTAAACTCGGAGCTACTGGGGAAAGAGTGCAGGTTAGAGAACGACTCCAGGGAGTCCAGGCTCGGCGATTCCCCAGGAGGGCTCGGGTCGCTGCAACTGCTGCTGAAGCCGCCAGCGCTGCTGGGCTCTTCGGAGGCGGCGGCCGCCAACTCCGCCTGGCAGGTGCCGGCAGGATCCGGGCGAGCTCCCGCGTCTCCCGCCGGACCCAACCCATGACCGACTCCGGCCTCGGCTGTCTCCGGGGAGGCGGTCACCTTGTGCTGCCCTCTCAGAGGCGGCTTGGCGGCAGCAAGATTCTCCAAAGCGCTCTCCTTCAAGTCCAAGCCCGGGAAGGAGCTGCAGGGTCCGGGAACCTGAGGAGAGCCCGCGGCAGAAGCCGAGTCCGGGAGGCTCCTCCTGGCAGCCGCCGCCCCCTGCCCATTCCCGCCGCCGCTCTCCGCCGCCCATACCCCAGAACCATCCCCAGCTGCAAGCCTGGTCTCTGGTTGCCCTTCCTGCAGAGAAGCTGTCCCTGGCGCTGGCCCGGCCGCCACCCTGTTTTCTAGCGGCTGCAGGCTCTCGGGGCCGCTCTCCATACCGGGCCTCCCGCCCTTCGCTCTATAGAGACCGCGGCGGGTGCTCCTCAGCCAGCGCCTCCGACGCCATGACAGCGGCGCTGGCAGCAACAGCGCCCTAGCGCGGTCTCGGCCAGGCACGTCACCAGGGAGGGTTCTGAGAGCGCGCGCGCGCGCCGCCGCGCACCCCTTCTCCCGCTAGGGGCGTGTCTCCGCGTGACTGCGCGCTGTGCCGCGAAGGCGAACCAGGCAGCAGCCGCCCACGTGGCCCCGCCCCTCCCGCGCGCTTACCGGAGTGGGCGCCCGGAAGGCCGGGCGTGGCCAGGAGGGCGTGGCCCACCGCCGGGCGCGCCCCCGCGGCTCAGCTCCAGTAGGAAAACATCCTCTCACTCTGTGGCCGGAAGTTGAAGTCCGGGGCAGCCTGGCGGTGCGCGGCTTCTTTAAAGGCAGCCGGGCGGCCGGCCGCTTAGACGCTTGTAGAGCTGGGTTGTGTGTGGCCCAGCCTTGGGCATGGTGAACTGGAGGTGGTTGTAGCATTTGGAAAAGAGCTTGTCCCTGAAGGGCTCAGGAGACTTGTTTCACCAGCTTGTGATATGGAAAATGGAAGGCATCTCTCACGAGATGCAGATTTTAAAGGCTGGCATCTATTCCGAGTTACTGTGCTTCTCACCAGCTACTGGTGAAACGTTCTCCCTACGGGAGGCGTCAGTGCGGTTGTGGACATTGGCCTGCGCAGCAAAATAAAGTGTGTAATTTGGGCCAATAATAATAAATTAGCTTGTGTTGGAATTGGCCAGGTCTTTGCGGTTTTGCTAACTTGGCTTCCTTCACTTTGCTTGCAGTGGCAAGTACTTGCTCCTGAAAGAGTGATTTTTTTCCTAATTAGAATTGACTCCTCTTAGGGCCATGCAGTTTTCAAAGAAGATTGACTTCGGGAAGTTTTGTTGGTAACAAATAAAATGTATGTGGGTCCTTCTCTGACCTGTTCCAGGAAAGGGCTCCCCCCACCCCCCATTTTTGCCTTTCAATTTTGTAGACCCTAGGGACACAAAAATTAACAAGACAGATCTTCCTTAACAGTCAGACAAATACTTGATACATAATAGAATGTGATGTTTTTGTATTTCTGTTGGTTAGAGAAGGCAGACAAAATTACAAAGTAGTATTTCATCTATTCATTTAATACATTTTAGTACCAAATACGTTGATGATACTGTTTGGCAGTGGAAACGCCATGGTGGATCACAGAGCGCATATTTTCATGTGGCTTACTGTCTGGTGATTTGTTTTCTTATTGCTGAACTTTTTATTTATTTTTGAGACAGAGTCTTGCTCTGTTGCCTGAGCTAGAGTGCTGTGGTATCAGCCTAGCTCACTGCAACTTCAAACTCCTGGGCTCAAGTGATCCTCCTCGGCCTCAGGAGTAGCTGGAACTGTGGGCATGAGCCACAGTGCCCTGCCATGTACTCTTGAATGTATATACTTGCTTGAGAAGTTCATTCTCCTGAGAATGCATTATCAGTCCCCTTCACCCTTTTTACCTTTGACATAATACTATGATATTTTTCCAACTCTAGGAAAACAGGGTAATTAGAAAAGATAATGGAGAGCTTCTTCAGAACGTTGACTTTAGGAGTTTTGTATGCTTTTCATCTCTCCATGTCAATCCATAAGCAATTCCTGTTGTTAAATTCTAACTTTTTTCCCTAAAAAATAATTGCAGATGTTAATAGATTAAGATATACGTTGCTAAAAGCTGGGCCTATAACCCTAGCACTTTGGGAGGCCTAGGTGGGAGGATTGCTTGAGGTCAAGTGGTTGAGACCAACCTTAGCAAGAGTGAGACCCGTCTCTGCTAAAAATAGAAAGAAATTAGGCAGACAACTAAAAATAGAAAAAATCAGTTGGGTGTTGTGGCACAGGCCTATAGTCCCAGCTACTTGGGAGGTTGAAGCAGGAGGACAGCCTGAGCCCAGGAATTTGAGGTTGCTGTGAGCTAAGCTGAAGCCACAGCACTCTAGCCTGGGCAACAGAGCAAGACTCTATTGCAAAAATAAATAAATAAAAATAAAATTTTAAAAAAAGATATATGCTCCTGGATTAAGCACTTTATAGTATTTTAGGCTTTGAACATAAAACAGAATACTATAGATTTCAGGAAATTCAGAATTTAGCATGGTGCCTCAAATGTAAAAAGGAGTTGTGTTACATTAATAAATTGAATGAATAAATCATTTATAGGCCAGTGAACCACAGTAGAGCCAGAAGTCATGGAGCACACTTCTCAAATAATAGCCCTTCACCATTTTTCAAAAACTCTACTTGGATAAACCTGTACTTGCTCTGGTAGTTTTTACCGGTATATATTTCAAATCATGTATCATTTAATAATTTATTTGTAACAAAAGGAAACAGAAGCAATTTTCTTTTCATGTGTTGTCAACAATTACATAAGCCAAGATGAACAGCCATGAAAATAAAGGTAGTTATTTAAGTATATGAAAATATACATATTTTTCTAAGGGAGGTGGAGAGTGGCATCTAGGGAGAATACCAGCAGACAAACTGATAAATGTCTCATTCTTATTTTGTTTACATGTATCTTTAGCTAAACTGTGAAGTAAGATAGCCATTTTTAAGTTAAATGATTACTACTCAAGTTTTAAAAATTACTTTTCAAAGTTACAGATTTAATATTCTTAAAAGTTAAGTAGTTTATAGAAAAACAAAGCAGTTCCTTGCTCTATTCCTCCACACCCTTGAGTCCTGTTCAGTTCCTTTCAACTCATAGCTATTTTTTTGTTTTGTTTTGTTTTGTTTAAGAAATGACATCTCGCTATGTTGCCTAAGCTGGAGTGTGGTGGCTATTCACAGTCTCCATCACCGTATACTACAGCCTCTAACTCTAGGGGTTAAGCAATCCTCCTGCCTCAGCCTCCTGAATAGCTGGGCCTATAGGTGTGATGTGCCCAGACTCATAGCTGTTCTTTAGCTTCTTGTCCCCATACTTCTGAGAAATATAATTACACTTTCTTCACTTAAAAATTATAGACATTGTTTATTGATGTATTCCCATGGAAAATTAGAATCTACTTATCTTCTCTCATATCATTCTTCCTCCCATTGCTCCAACCTCCCAGTTATTTCACAATTTTTGACTAAATAAAGTACTGAAAGTTTAAAGCATTAGAGTTATGTAAATATTCACTACTAAGTCTGATATTTTACTGTGAATACTTTTCCTGTTAAACTTCTAACTTTTTCTAGTATTAACAATTGCCTCATTATTCTGTTTAATTCTTTACTTACCACCAACTTAGTCACAGACTTACCAGTATGATCAATCATATCAAGTTATCTCTCAGGCCCATTTTAATCTTATATACATCCCTCCTGGAACACTCCTCTTACTCTGATCTGCACTTCTTGTTTTATAGATCTGCTGCACAGCGGTCATCCTGGGATTTCTCTTCACTATTTTCTTAGGAATTTCTTCCTTCTCTCTTCTATGTTGATTCCTTTGTTTTCGGAGCTCTGTTTTCCCTCTATCTTTGCCTTTGTGGGAACATAATCTTAATTAGCTTCCCTCAGAAAGAGTACATGGAAGTAAATTTTTGTAGACTTTTGTATGTCTGAAAAAGACCTTTGTTCTACTTTATTATTATCATTTGCTGGGTATAAATTCAGAATTAAAAATACTTTTTCTAGGCCAGGTGTGGGGCTCACGCCTATAATCTATAGCACTTTGGGACCAAGCGGCGGATTGCTCAAGGTCAGGAGTTTGAACCAGCCTGAGCGAGACCCATCTCTACCAAAATAGAAATAAATTAACTGACAACTAAAATATATATACAAAAAATTAGCCGGGATGGTGGCGCATCCTGTAGTCCAGCTACTCGGGAGGCTGAGGCAGTAGGATCGCTGAGCCCAGGAGATTGAGGTTGCTGTGAGCCAGGCTGACGCCACGGTACTCACTCTAGCCTGGGCAACAAAGTGAGACTCTGTCTCAAAAAAAAAAAAATACTTTTTCTCCATTTTGAAGTCATTGGTCAATTGTATTCTAGCTTCCAGGTGATTATAGAGAAGTCTGATATTATCATGACTCCCGAACCTTTGTATACTACCTGTTTCTTCTTTGAAGTTTATTTGTCCTTCTTTTTATTCTTGATGTTCTGACATTCAGTGTTTGATATATCTTTGTGTGGGTCTTGCTTTATTCACTGGGCTGGGTACTTGGTGATCACATTTAGTGTGAAACTTATATCCTTCAGTTCTATGAAATTTCTTATTTTATTTCTTTGATAATTATCTCTTCTCTGACTTTATACTGTTTTTGTTCTATTAACATATTATTACATTTTCAAAGTTCTGCCTGGTTCTTATCCTTTAAAGACATCCTGACCTTACATCTTTTAGAATATTGATTATAATTTCTTTTTCTCACCGCTTGCAGGGATGAAGTCTTTTTCTTTTTTTTTTTCTTTAAGCAACCCTCCCACCTTAGTCTCCAAGTAGCTGGGACTACTGTGCCATGGTACCATGCATGGCCCCCATATCAATTATAATTGGTAATGTGTCCTTTATACTATTCTGAAGCTATTTGACCATTTGCTTCAGAAAACTATTACGCATAATTAATGATTAGTTCTAGAGAGTGAGATATGGGAAAACAAGTGTAAAACTAGTGGTCTTACTCTTTGGGAGTGCAAAATTGTTTTGGGAAATGATATATCACAGAAGATCACATTGGTAATATAATCACTTTATAATTACTTAATGATGCACAAACAATAAATGTAAAAATCAGATGAACTTTCAGTGTTTAAAGGAAATTAACTATACAGTTGCGCGGTGGCTCATGCCTGTAATCTAGCATCTGGAAGCTGAGGGTGGGAAGTATCACTTAGCTCAGAGTTCAAGACCCAGCCTGAGCAAGAGCGAGGGCCTGGTCTCGACTAAAATATAAAAAATTAGCCTGGTGTGAATGGATTGGTGAACCTGTAGTCCAGCTACCTTTAGGAGCTGAGACAGGAGGATCAAGTGAGCCCAGGAGTTTGAGGTTGCTTTGAGCTATGATGATGCCACTGCACTCTAGCCTGTGTGACTGAGCTAGACTTGATCTCAAAAAATAAAAAGCAAACAAACAAAAAACTATACAGTACTCTCCTAATTAAAATCACAGGTTGATTACTACCTCAGGCTTAATAAATGCAAAAA